CTACATACCCGGCACTATGACATTACCACTGTAGTCACACTACCCTACATACCCGGCACTATGACATTACCACTGTAGTCACACTACCCTACATACCCGGCACTATGACATTACCACTGTAGTCACACTACCCTACATACCCGGCACTATGACATTACCACTGTAGTCACACTACCCTACATACCCGGCACTATGACATTACCACTGTAGTCACACTACCCTACATACCCGGCACTATGACAGTACCACTGTAGTCACACTACCCTACATACCCGGGGCACTATGACATTACCACTGTAGTCACACTACCCTACATACCCGGCACTATGACATTACCACTGCAGTCACACTACCCTACATACCCCGGCACTATCACATTACTACTGTAGTCACACTACCCTACATAACCGGCACTATGACATTACCACTGTAGTCACACTACCCTACATACCCGGCACTATGACAGTACCACTGTAGTCACACTACCCTACATACCCGGCACTATGACATTACCATTGTAGTCACACTACCCTACATACCCGGCTCTATGACATTACTACTGTAGTCACACTACCCTACATACCCGGCACTATGACATTACTACTGTAGCACACTACCCTACATACCTGGCTTTATTTAATAAGGAAAGATAACTTTTTAGTGCAAGGACAATCAGCTTTTATTGAATGATCAGTGTAAATTGACAGTTGGAAATAATAAATTTTACATTCTGACAATAAGTAAGGGTAATCTTTTTACTGTCCATTCAGGTCATTAGTTTTTGTGTGCAAAACAGATGTGATTACGTCGATCTTATTGTGAAACTGGTAACGGATTGTATGAACCATTATTTTAAAATGTGTTAAAATGTTTGATTTTTTGTTGCAAGATTTACCACGTTATTGTTTTATAATTTTTAATGTCGTTTATTTTCTTTAAGTCGAGGATACTATGAGAGAAATTCCTTCCGAAGTAGAACACATAATCATTACTATGTTGATTGGTTGTTTATCATCAGTTGTAAACAACACAATGGAATAAGGCGATATCTTGAGATTTGCTTAAATCTCAAAATTTTAAATGGAAAAAATATATGGAGAATAAATGATGTAAAAAACAATTTGTTAACTCTGGAAACAGATTTGTCTACAATTTAAAAAAAGATAGTTTAGATTTTTCGAGTTTTTATTCCCCATTGTATTTTTTATCGATATGCAATTGTAAGTGAGAAAGATGACCTGACTGTTTCTGTGTTGACATTATTTTAACAGCAGGATTCTGTTTGTGTGTGTGTGAAGTTTCATTTTTGAAAATTTTAAGTAGGTGAATAAATTTTATGTCATTTCATATCATAAAAGAGATGAACACATTGAAAAGATTCTAGTTTATTCTATTGTCACAGCATCATGTAAATGCATCAATATCAAATAAAAACATGACTTTTGATTTGTTGTAAGTTATTCATGATCCACTAGAGGGAATCTCAAGCTCTCTGCAAGTCGCACGCATTGCTTCAAAAAAACATCAGTCTATATAGCTATAGCTCTCCGTCAGTCGCACTTGTTACCTCGTAGCCAACGTTACCGGTACATGACCTTAGCTGTAACATGAGGTCACCAAACCCTAAACATGACCTCAGCTGTAATGTGAGGTCACAAAACCCTAAACATGACCTTAGCTGTTACGTGAGATCACAAACCCTAAACATGACCTTAGCTGTTACGTGAGGTCACAAAACCCTAAACATGACCTTAGCTGTAACGTGAGGTCACAAAACCTTGAACATGACCTTAGCTGTAACGTAAGGTCACAAAACCCTAAACATGACTTAAGCTGTAACATGAGGTCACAAAACCCTTGACATGACCCTTTACATGACCTTAGCTGTAACGTGAGGTCACAAAACCCCAAACATGACCTCAGCTGTAACGTAAGGTCACAAAACCCTAAACATGACTGAAGCTGTAACATGAGGTCACAAAACCCTTGACATGACCCTTTACATGACCTTAGCTGTAACGTGAGGTCACAAAACCCCAAACATGACCTCAGCTGTAACGTAAGGTCACAAAACCCTAAACATGACTGAAGCTGTAACATGAGGTCACAAAACCCTTGACATGACCCTTTACATGACCTTAGCTGTAACGTGAGGTCACAAAACCCCAAACATGACCTCAGCTGTAATGTGAGGTCACAAAACCCTAAACATGACCTTAGCTGTAACGTGAGGTCACAAAACCCTTAACATGACCTTAGCTGTAACATGAGGTCACAAAACCCTTAACATGACCCTAAACATGACCTTAGCTGTAACTTGAGGTCACAAAACCCTAAACATGACCTTAGCTTTAACGTGAGGTCAAAAAACCCTAAACATGACCTTAGCTGTTACGGAGGTCACAAAACCCTAAACATGACCTTAGCTGTAACGCGAGGTCATCAAACCCTAAACATGACCTTAGCTGTAACATGAGGTCACAAAACCCTAAACATGACCTCAGCTGTAACGTGAGGTCACAAAACCCTAAACATGACCTTAGCTGTAACGTGAGGTCACAAAACCCTGAACATGACCTTAGCTGTAATGTGAGGTCACAAAACCCTGAACATGACCTTAGCTGTAATGTGAGGTCACAAAACCCTAAACATGACCTTAGCTGTAACGTGAGGTAACAAAACCCTAAACATGACCTTAGCTGTAACGTTAGGTCACAAAACCTTTAACATGACCCTTAACATGACCTTAGCGGTTAGGTGAGGTCACAAAACCCTAAACATGACCTTAGCTGTAACGTGAGGTCACAAAACCCTTAACATGACCTTAGCTGTAATGTGAGGTCACAAAACCCTAAACATGACCTTAGCTGTAACGTGAGGTCACAAAACCCTAAACATGACCTTAGCTGTAACGTGAGGTCACAAAACCCTGAACATGACCTTAGCTGTAATGTGAGGTCACAAAACCCTAAACATGACCTTAGCTGTAACGTGAGGTCACAAAACCCTGAACATGACCTTAGCTGTAATGTGAGGTCACAAAACCCTAAACATGACCTTAGCTGTAACGTGAGGTCACAAAACCCTGAACATGACCTTAGCTGTAATGTGAGGTCACAAAACCCTAAACATGACCTTAGCTGTAACGTGAGGTCACAAAACCCTGAACATGACCTTAGCTGTAATGTGAGGTCACAAAACCCTAAACATGACCTTAGCTGTAACGTGAGGTCACAAAACCCTAAACATGACCTTAGCTGTAACGTGAGGTCACAAAACCCTGAACATGACCTTAGCTGTAATGTGAGGTCACAAAACCCTAAACATGACCTTAGCTGTAACGTGAGGTCACAAAACCCTAAACATGACCTTAGCTGTAACGTGAGGTCACAAAACCCTGAACATGACCTTAGCTGTAATGTGAGGTCACAAAACCCTAAACATGACCTTAGCTGTAACGTGAGGTCACAAAACCCTAAACATGACCTTAGCTGTAACGTGAGGTCACAAAACCCTGAACATGACCTTAGCTGTAATGTGAGGTCACAAAACCCTAAACATGACCTTAGCTGTAACGTGAGGTCACAAAACCCTAAACATGACCTTAGCTGTAACGTGAGGTCACAAAACCCTTAACATGACCTTAGCTGTAATGTGAGGTCACAAAACCCTTAACATGACCTTAGCTGTAATGTGAGGTCACAAAACCCTAAACATGACCTTAGCTGTAACGTGAGGTCACAAAACCCTAAACATGACCTTAGCTGTAACGTAGGGTCACAAAACTCTAAATATGACCTTAGCTGTAATGTGAGGTCACAAAACCCTTAACATGACCTTAGCTGTAATGCGAGGTCATAAAACCCTAAATATGACCTTACCTGTAACGTGAGGTCAAAAAACCCTAAACATGACCTTAGCTGTTACGGAGGTCACAAATCCCTAAACATGACCTTAGCTTTAACGTGAGGCCATCAAACCCTAAACATGACCTTAGCTGTAACACGAGGTCACAAAACCCTAAACATGACCTTAGCTGTAATGTGAGGTCATTAAACCCTAAACATGACCTCAGCTGTAACGCGAGGTTACAAAACCCTAAACCCATCAACAATCAAAAGATAACTTATCGTATAATGCATATATCATGATACATGTAGAACTTTTACAAGAACTATCAATCATGTGGTTTCTGAGCGAAGCATTTGGTGAATTTGGTCAACACACGTATATGTAAGTAATCAATAGTATCTAATGCTAAGTGTAAGCTTAATTTGTGATCAAAGCCCTGGACAATCATGTCTAAGTAATTGTTGCCATAAACCACCAAGGGACAGTATGATAGAATAATGCAAATACATCTTCATTCATGAATGAGAGAAATTTGCAGTGACAATTCCTTATGAAGACAGTACTGACTACAGATAAAATGATGATGACAACTGTTATAGATGTACCTACCAGGGGTGCCGCCCTATAATGGACATGATGGTCCCCTATTGTATAAAATACTCCAGTGTACTACAACATCTAAGTCTTCAACATTGAAAAGCTAGCTCTGTCCCAACTCTGTTTTCACCAGCCTCTGTTTGGTGTTTTCACCAGCCTCTATTGAGTGTTTTCACCAGCCTCTGTTTGGTGTTTTCACCAGCCTCTGTTTGTTGTTTTCACCATTCACCAGCCTCTGTTTGGTGTTTTCACCAGCCTCTATTGAGTGTTTTCACCAGCCTATGTTGAGTGTTTCCACCAGCCTCTATTGAGTGTTTTCATCAGCCTCTGTTGAGTGTTTTCACCAGCCTCTGTTGATTGTTTTCCCCAGCCTCTGTTTGGTGTTTTCACCAGCCTCTGTTTAGTTTTTTCACCAGCCTCTGTTGAGTGACTTCACCAGCCTGTTTTGTGTTTTCACCAGCCTCTGTTGAGTGTTTTCACCAGCCTCTGCTGAGTGTTTTCACCAGCCTCTGTTGAGTGTTTTCAACAGCCTATGTTGAGTGTTTTCACCAGCCTATGTTGAGTGTTTTCACCAGCCTCTGTTGAGCTTTTCCTGTTTGTCAGCTGCAGACCTTTCCAGTCCTGTCCTCGCCTCGGTAAAATCTGGATTCAGTCTCAGGGCTGCTTCCATATCAGCTATGGCATTATCAAACCTACCTGTTGATCATAAAAAATGCAGTAAACTAGCAAGCTGGCGCAATATAATGTTAAAATCTTCCTCAAATATACGTAAAGAATGAGAAAAAAAAGTTATGAATTTAAAAGTAACCTAGCATTAAAACTGCAGAATATCTCTACAACATGTATACATGTACTACTGTACAAGTGGTAAGGTAACTAACACAGTGTGCCTCAGAGAAGATACATCCTCAAGATTGAGTGCCCCAGAGAAGATACATCCTTAAGATTGGGTGCCCCCGAGAAGATACATCATTATAATTGAGCGGCCAAGAGAAAAATACATCCTTAAGATTGGGTGACCCAGAGAGGATAATTCTCAAGATTGGGTGCCCAAGAGAAGATAATCCTGAAGATTGTGTGCTCCAGAGAAGATACATAATTATGATTGTGTGCCCCAGAAAAGATACATCCTAAAGATTGGGTGCCCCGGAGAAGATACATCCTTAGATTAGATGTCCCAGAGAGGATACATCCTTAGATTAGATGTCCCAGAGAGGATACATCCGTAGATTAGGTGTCCCAGAGAAGATTCATCCTTAGATTAGGTGTCCCAGAGAAGATTCATCCTTAGATTAGGTGCCCCAGAGAGGATACATCCTTAAATTAGGTCTCCCAGAGAAGATACATCCTTTAGATTAGGTGTCCCATCATTAAGATCGGGTGAAACAGAGAAGATCCATCCTAAAGATTGGGTGCACCAGAGAAGATACATCATTATAATTGAGCGGCCAAGAGAAAAATACATCCTAAAGATTGTGTGCCTGAGAGAAGATATACCTTGTGATTGGGTGCCCCAGAAAAGATATACCTTCAGATTGTGTGCCCCAGAGAGGATAATTCTCAAGATTTGGTGCCCCAGAGAAGATACATCCTTTAGATTAGGTGTCCCAGCGAGGATACATCCTTGGATTAGGTGTCCCAGAGCGGATACATCCTTAAATTAGGTGTCCCAGAGAAGAGACATCCTTAGATTAGGTGACCCAGAGAGGATAATTCTCAAGATGGGGTGACCAAGAGAAGATAATCCTGAAGATTGTGTGCTCCAGAGAAGATACATAATTATGCTTGTGTGCCCCAGAAAAGATATACCTTCAGATTGTGTGCCCCAGAAAAGATATACCTTGAGATTGGGTGCTCCAGGGAAGATTCATCATTAAGATCGGGGGAAACAGAGAAGATACATCCTTATATTAAGTGTCCCAGAGAGGATACAGCCTTAGATTAGGTGTCCCCAGAGAGGATACATCCTCCTAAAGATTGTGTGCCTGAGAGAAGATATACCTTGTGATTGGGTGCCCCAGAGAAGATTCATCCTTAGATTAGGTGTCCCATCATTAAGATCGGGTGCCCCAGAGAAGAGACATACTTAAGATTGGGTGCACGTGACCCAGAGAGGATAATTCTCAAGATTTGGTGCCCCAGAGAAGATTCATCCTCAAGATTGGGTGCCCCGGAGAAGATACATCCTTAGATTAGATGTCCCAGAGAGGATACAGCCTTAGATTAGGTGTCCCATCATTAAGATCGGGTGCAACAGAGAAGATACATCCTTATATTAAGTGTCCCAGAGAGGATACATCCTTAGATTAGGTGACCCAGAGAGGATAATTCTCAAGATCGGGTGCCCAAGAGAAGATAAACCTGAAGATTGTGTGCTCCAGAGAAGATACATAATTATTATTGTGTGCCCCAGAAAAGCTATACCTTGAGATTGTGTGCCACAGAGAAGATATACCTTGGGATTGGGTGCCCCAGGGAAGATTCATCATTAAGATCGGGTGAAACAGAGAAGATACATCCTAAAGATTGTGTGCCACGGAAAAGATACATCCTAAAGATTGGGTGCCCAAGAGAAGATAATCCTAAAGATTGGGTGCCCCAGAGAAGATACATCCTCAAGATTGGGTGCACGTGACCCAGAGAGGATAATTCTCAAGATTTGGTGCCCCAGAGAAGATACATCCTAAAGATTGTGTGCCCCAGAAAAATTATATAATTATGACTGGGTGACCAAGAGAAAATACATCCTTAAGATTTGTTACCATAGAAAAGATACATCCTAAAGATTGTGTGCCTGAGAGAAGATATACCTTGAGATTGTGTGCCCCAGAGAAGATATACCTTGAGATTGGGTGCCCCAGAGAAGATATACATTGAGATTGTGTGCCCCAGAGAAAATTCATCCTTAAGATTTGTTACCATAGAAAAGATACATCCTAAAGATTGTGTGCCCCAGAGAAGATATACCTTGAAATTGGGTGCCCCAGGGAAGATTCATCATTAAGATCGGGTGACACAGAGAAGATACATCCTCAAGATTGGGTGCCCCAGAGAAGATACATCCTAAAGATTGTGTGCCCCAGAAAAGTTATATAATTATAACTGGGTGACCAAGAGAAAATACATCCTTAAGATTTGTTACCATAGAAAAGATACATCCTAAAGGTTGTGTGCCCCAGAGAAGATACATCCTAAAGATTGTGTTCCCCAGAGAAGATATACCTTGAGATTGGGTGCCCCAGAGAAGATATACCTAGAGATTGTTTGCCCCAGAGAAGATATACCTTGAGATTGGGTGCCCCAGAGAAGATATACCTTGAGATTGGGTGCCCCAGAGAAGATTCATCATTAAGATCGGGTGACACAAAGAAGATTCATCATTAAGATCGGGTGCCCCAGAGAAGATACATCCTTAGATTAGGTGTCCCAGAGAGGATACATCCTTAGATTAGGTGTCCCAGAGAGGATACATCCTTAGATTAGGTGTCCCAGAGAGGATACATCCTTAGATTAGGTGTCCCAGAGAAGATACATCCTAAAGATTGGGTGCCCAAGAGAAAAAAATCCTTAAGATTGTGTGCCCCAGAAAAAATACATCCTTAAGATTTGTTACCATAGAAAAGATACATCCTAAAGATTGTGTGCCCCAGAGAAGATATACCTTGAGATTGGGTGCCCCAGGGAAAATTCATCATTAAGATCGGGTGACACAGAGAAGATACATCCTTAGATTAGGTGTCCCAGAGAAGATATACTTTGAGATTGGGTGCCCCAGAGAAGACATACCTTGAGATTGGGTGCCCCAGGGAAGATACATCCTAAAGATTGGGTGCCCCAGAGAAGATATACCTTGAGATTGGGTGCCCCAGGGAAGATACATCCTAAAGGTGTGCACGTGACCCAGAGAAGATATACCTAAAGATTGTGTGCCCCAGAGAAGATAATCCTAAAGATTGGGTGCCCAAGAGAAGATAATCCTAAAGATTGGGTGCCCCAGAGAAGATACATCATTATAATTGAGCGGCCAAGAGAAAAATACATCCTTAAGATTGGGTGACCCAGAGAGGATAATTCTCAAGATGGGGTGCCCAAGAGAAGATAATCCTGAAGATTGTGTGCTCCAGAGAAGATACATAATTATGATTGTGTGCCCCAGAGAAGATACATCCTAAAGATTGGGTGCCCCGGAGAAGATACATCCTTAAGATTGGGTGCACGTGACCCAGAGAGGATAATTCTCAGGTTAGGTGCCCCAGAGAGGATACATCCTTAGATTAGGTGTCCCAGAGAGGATACATCCTTAAATTAGGTGTCCCAGAGAAGATACATCTTAAAGACTGTGTGTCCCAGAGAGGATACATCCTAAAGATTTGGTGCCCAAGAGCCAGAGAAAATTCATCCTTAAGATTTGTTACCATAGAAAAGATACATCCTAAAGATTGTGTGCCTGAGAGAAGATATACCTTGAGATTGTGTGCCCCAGAGAGGATACATCCTTAGATTAGGTGTCCCAGAGAGGATACATCCTTAAATTAGGTGTCCCAGAGAAGATACATCTTAAAGATTGTGTGTCCCAGAGAGGATACATCCTAAAGATTTGGTGCCCAAGAGAAGATAATCCTAAAGATTGGGTGCCCCAGAGAAGATACATCCTCAAGATTGGGTGCACATGACCCAGAGAGGATAATTCTCAAGATTGGGTGCCCCAGAGAAGATACATCCTCAAGATTGTGTGCCCCAGAAAAGTTATATAATTATGACTGGGTGACCAAGAGAAAGTACATCCTTAAGATTTGTTACCATAGAAAAGATACATCCTAAAGATTGTGTGCCCCAGAGAAGATATACCTTGAGATTTTGTGCCCGAGAGAAGATATACCTTGAGATTGTGTGCCCCAGAGAAGATATACCTTGAGATTGTGTGCCCCAGA